TGCCCTCCCGACAGCGAGCTGCGAGGGGCCCTGTCCCTCCCCACATCTGGCTCGACAGACCGGGGACTCGAGGGCGGACAGCGCTCGAGGGAGGGAGAATGGCAGCGACGGCTGGTGGTTTGGTGAGGCAACGAGCGGTAGGTGTTGGAGCTCGCGCCCGGCAAAAAAAAAAGAAAGAAGGCGCCACGGGGATTCGAACCCCGGAGCCACAAGGGCAGGGGCATGCAACAGATGGCGCGAAGCCGCGTAGTAAACCCCCAGAATAACCACTATCTGATAGCGCCTTTTCGTGTGGTGGCGCAAGCAAAACTGCGGTACAACAAGGCGTGTTTCACTGCGTCACAGATGCGCTTCACTCAGGCGCGAGCGAGCCAGGACACGCCCCGTCCCGCGAAGCCAGTACCATCCCAGTAACGAGTCTGCGCAACAACGTCGGCGGGTCTGTGCGTGCAGGGATGTTGTTGCGCGGATTTGGGAAGGCCCGCTCGAACCTCTCCCGGTGACCCCCCTCTCTCTTTCTCGAATGCTCAGGGCTCCGACTCAGGCCTCCCAAATGAGCCACTAGGAGCGGGCTGCCCGCTCGCTGAGGTCCGAGCGTCCCGTCCAGCCGCCATCCTGTCCATAACTCGACGCGGCTGGAACTCTCCTCGCTCCTCAACTACGGCGCCCTCACATGCTCTTGCCCTTTCGATGGCTCGGACTATCCCCATCGCAGTGGGGTCGGCTCTCGGGCCGAATGAGACGAGCTGGGCTGACGTGACTCGCCCGCGATCGCGGCTCAGCTGTCCAACGCAGCAAAGGCGCAGGGGTGCGTCCGCTTTCTCCTGACACGCTGTGTGGCGCCAAGGATGCAGCAGGGCTGCTGCAGTCCCCGATCCGCGCGCCAAACTTGAGCGAGCCTGGGCTGACCAGCCCTTTCCGCCGTCTCACTGCGAAGGGGCCGCGCTGGCGACGACGCGCATGCGGCTTGGCCTGCTGTAGCGTAGTTTGCTGTCCTGATCGCAGGTCGATGGCGCCCAACGTCTCGACCGTGGCATCGGCCTGCAGACGGACCGGCGGAGGTGACGCTTGCGCGCCGTCACCCATGCTTGCGAGCTTTTGTTGACCCCCGTCGCCTTCTCCATTCGCCGGTGGCCGGGGGTGTGCTAAGGGCCTGACGGGTCTCGTGTCTGTACATATCGCCAGCCTATGGTTCTCGAGAAGCTGCGGGTAGAATTGCCGGGTCGACCGCCCCGGCGTGTCTGCTTGCTTGCAGTGATCCTCAACCCGGCGCGGGATTCCTGTCTCCCTCTTCCGACAACCCCTCTCTACTTTCTTCTCGCGCGTGCTCTCGAAGTGATAAAACTGGTCGGTTCGGCCGACCACAGCTGAGTAAGGTGCTCGGGCCTACATGCCCGCGCGCTCGGGCGCTCTTCGGTCGACTCAAGACCAAGCATCACTCGCTCGTATATCGCTCGCACATAGTGCGCGGGTCGCCGGAACGTCGTCCACACGTCGCCCGCACGTCCCCCAAGCCTCACCTGAAAGTCTCCCGAAGACTCGCCTCGATTCGCCACAGATGGCGCTGCGTAGCCGCCTCTCTCGCCTCTCTCGCCTCGCGCTTCTCTCACCTACGTCGCCTGAAAGCTGGCCCTGAGCTCAGATGCCCTGCCCTCGCCGCGATATACCCGCTACTCGCTCGCTTCGCTGGCTCGCTTTGCTCCTCACCGCACGCGCCCCATTCGCCCATCCCACGATCGCAAGCACTTACACACGCCCTCACCTCGCACACGCACGTCCGTCCACGCACAAACTCTACACCCGCGTACGCATGGGGGGCAAAGCCTCGCTGCTCCGCCCAGAGGGCGTCGTCCAAGTTGCCGCGTCGAGGGAGGGCAGGCTCGTGACCCAGTTTGAGCAGGGTGCGTGTCCGCGTCGACCCTCGCGCCTCTCGACCGACGTCCCTTGCGCACGCCGGTTAGTAGCCGTCTGATCTAGGGAACGGCCCAAGTCTGGGGAAGCCGGGCTGCGTCCGTCTCGCCGCGCGCGTCCCGTCTTCTGTACTCGCTCACGACGCTGACGCTCCTGCCGTCCCGCGTCTGCGGGGACATGAAGACTGCGGGACTGTGTGTCTCTGCGCGGGGCTCATGGTGTGTTCGCAGGGCGACTTTCGGGCGGGTCGGCGAGGCGAGGCGGAGCTGCGCAGGTCCGATCCAGGCAAGCGAAGGCCCGGAGCCCCCCCCCCCCCCCCGGCGTCCCGGGAAGCTTCATTGGGCTCGGATAGCGCCTGGGAGGGTCTTGGTGCGGCCGCAAACACCAGAGGTTCCCTGCGCACCCTCGAGAAAACGGTCGCAGCTGTTCCCGACCTCGTTGCGCATCGCGGCTTGCACCGATCGATCCCTCTCGTCAAGCGCAGACTTGCACAGATGGATGCCTGGACGTGGCGCGCACCTGTCGACAATGCGTCGATTAAAAGAGGCTGTCGAGCACGAAGCCTCATAACGCTCGCGACGCTCGTTCACAGCCGCCATCGCTTGTCCTGTGGCCAAGCCTCGCATGTCTGGGCTGTTCCTCGAGGTGCCTTGCAGAACAACTCTGGCAGAGTGGAAGGCGCCAGCTCGAGTTTGAGCGTCGAGACCGCGTCTGAGAAAGTCCTCGTCAAGTCGACGCCAGCGATCCCGGCTGCCCAGCCCATTCTCCTTAGGCGCAACGCGCACGGTGCAGGCTGCCTGTCGTCGCCGGTGAAGCCAGGTTAGCTGACGGGACAGCCTGCCCAGTTGCGCGGTCCCCTGCCGCCGATGTCGGCAACGTCCACCATGGTCGCGTCGACCTGGCTGGCCCAAGTAAGGCAGAGCCGGCGCGCGCGAAGTCCTGTAGAGCGTACGTTCTCGAGAAAGCACCGGGCACCAGCTTTGCTTGGCAGGGCAGCTGGCGCGCAGCCGGTTCGGCGAGAGGCCAGTGACCCAAAGGCTCTCGCCTTCAAGCGTTCAAGCGCGGCTGCAGCGCGAAGCGCCTGTCCTCGCCAAACCGTACGCGGTGAATGCACCCACCATGACCGGTATACGGACTGGCGGAAAACCAGCTCCTTGGCAGGCGGCTCGGAGTCAGCTGCCTGGGAGCGCCGCGCAGGCGAGAGGTAGTCAACAGGAGGGGAAGGCCTGTCTGTTCAGACTATGATGAGCTCGTGCTACGCACTCGAAGCGAAAACTGAAGAGCAAAAGCGGGCGCAAGGACGGCAGGATATGAAGACGACTCGAGGCGAACCATCGCTTGGAGGGGTTGCCGGTTGCCCCACCATCCTCGAGTCGCCATGCTCTGCCCCGTCGCAAAGAGCGCGCTCAGGCGCTCTAGCGCATCCTCGTCCGCGCTTGTCCGCCCTCGCGTTCGAGTCACCGCGCCACGCCCCCCTCCCACCTTCTCCTCGTCCCCTCATCAGCGACATGCCTTCGAAACCTCGGCCCCCTCGACGAGCCCCTCCGGTGGCACCAACACGATCTCGCAGGCCGAGATCGAGCACTTCTCGGCGCTGTCGGCCAACTGGTGGGACCCGACGGGCGAATTCGGCCTGCTGCACCGCATGAACCCGGCCAGGCTCGACTTCCTGCGCGACGAACTCTTGCGGGTCGACGAGCTGGAGGGCGCACGCTGGCTACAGGGCAAAGACGTCCTCGACGTCGGCTGCGGCGGTGGCATCTTTGCCGAGGTTCGCTCCATGCCTCGCTCTCTCTGCCCCCTCTCGATCGCTGTCAAGCCCGAGCCCTGTGCTGACCTATGTGTACGTCGTCGCAGTCACTCGCACGACTAGGCGCAAACACCACAGCCATCGACGCGGCCGCGCAGAACATTACGATGGCGCAGACCCACGCCGCCCTCGACCCCTCTCTCCATGTGATCAACTCGCCCATCCCGTCTCGCGGATCTCGACGCGCAAAGTCCACGTCGCGTAACACACTCGAGTACAGACACTGCGCTGCCGAGGACCTCGTTCGTGAGGGCAAGCGGTTTGACGTCGTCTGTGCCATGGAGGTCGTTGAGCACGTGGAGGACCCGCGAGGCTTCCTCGAATGCCTGATGCAGCTCACCAAGGTGCGCTGTCGCTCTAAGACTTCCTCATGTTGCAAGCATGCTCACGTCGGGCACCCCTCACGCAGCCTGGCGGCCACCTCCTCCTGTCCACCATCTCCCGCACCCCTCTCGCCCGCCTCCTCACCATCACCCTCGCAGAGGACGTCCTCCGACTCGTCACGCCCGGCACGCACACGTACCACAAGTACATCAAGCCGCAAGAGCTTGCCGACTTCTTCGCCGAGAAGGGATGGATCGGGTTCGAGTCGAGGGGGTGCCCGTACGACCCCATTGCGGGCAAGTGGCGGCTGCTCGGGCTGGGAGAGACAGGCGGGCTTGGGCAGCTCGTCAACTACTTTGCCAGCGTCAGGCGACCACTGCAGTGAACACGCACTCGTCGGCGCTGTCCCATGCCTTTTCGCGCGGCTGTCGAGCGTGTGGCCTGGCTTTTGCCTCATCGAGCGCACGTCCGGGGAATAGGTCAGGGCCGCGTCTCGGAACAAGACCGAGCGAGACAAGGTCGATGTGCAGTGTGGAAACGGGGCGGCGGGAAGGAGCCGCGCACCGGCGGTCCCGCCGACCCTGACCGTCGCCTCGCTCGCATTACCTGGCCTCAGCCGTGCTGGTCGAGAGGAGCGTGCCTGACCGTTCTTTGATAGCTCGTCTCGTACCCAGACGGAACAGGGAAGCGGGCGAGCATGCGATACAGGAGCGAGCGCACTGACCTCGGCCCTCGCTCTGTCTGGCGCGGCGACAAGGCTGCCTCGAGAGCTCCCTCCGCGATCCTTCCGCGCACCGACGCCCCGACGTGGGGTGCATGGACTCGTCGCTGGGATGGTACTGGCTTCGCGGGACGGGGCGTGTCCTGGCTCGCTCGCGCCTGAGTGAAGCGCATCTGTGACGCAGTGAAACACGCCTTGTTGTACCGCAGTTTTGCTTGCGCCACCACACGAAAAGGCGCTATCAGATAGTGGTTATTCTGGGGGTTTACTACGCGGCTTCGCGCCATCTGTTGCATGCCCCTGCCCTTGTGGCTCCGGGGTTCGAATCCCCGTGGCGCCTTCTTTCTTTTTTTTTTGCCGGGCGCGAGCTCCAACACCTACCGCTCGTTGCCTCACCAAACCACCAGCCGTCGCTGCCATTCTCCCTCCCTCGAGCGCTGTCCGCCCTCGAGTCCCCGGTCTGTCGAGCCAGATGTGGGAGGGACAGGGCCGCTGGCAGCTCGCTGTCGGGAGGGCAAGCCTCGTCCTTCGCAGTCTTCTGGAAGTCAAGAGCACAATTGTCTCGAGAGGCGCAGCAAGCGCGTGCGCGTGGAGCCAGCGACCACGTGCACGGGCCCCTTCGCAAGGGCGCTCCTCTTTCTCTCTCTCTGTCAACTCGCCCGTGGGCTCGAGCGCACCCAGGTCTCTCTCGGGCTCTTCTTCCAAGCTAGATGGCACTGCGCAGACGCACGTGGACAAGACACCGTTGCGAAGCGTTGCAGGTCACTCCGTCCCTCAGAGCCACGCGTGAGTGCCTCCCTTCCTGCCGGAGTCAGGTCCTCTCTGGTCGGCCGCGTGCTTCGTACTACAGGGAAAGAAGTCACTGAATTGGTCGTCTCAAGTCGGTACAGACATCTACGAAAAGCACAACGAACCGGCGCAGAGCGACCGCCGGCGAGAGGCCGCTCGCATCCTCTCAGTTCTCACGACCTCCTTCCCAGGCCCAGTCTCCTTCGCTCACTCATCTTCCCCTGTCTCACCTCGCGCTTCCCTGTCCACAGTCTCGCCTCCGTCCTCCGCTCCTGCGCCGCGGCCGTCCTCTTCAGCAAAGCCCGCATGATCCAGAGGCGCCTTGCCCTCCACCTCCTCCTGCTCTTCGCGCTCGAACCGCGCGCCCAGGTCACTCGCGCGGCGCAGCACGTCCTGAACGTACCCGTTCACCGCAGACGACGTTTCGGACTCGACCGACGTCGTCGACGCGCGCGAGGGCCGGCGCGCGAGCCATGCGGAGGTCGAGGTCGAGGCGCTGAGGGCGGCCAGCGAATCGGCCGTGAGCGGGGCGGGCTCAGGAACGTCGCTCTCGGTGGTTGAGTGGACGGGCTGGGGAGCGGGCTCGTGCGCCTCGGTGGAGTCGACAGAGGTCGCCGCGCTCGTGTCGGGACGAGGCTTGACGTCGAGCGTGGAAGCCTCGTTGCCGATTTCGCCCGTGCTATCGTCGCTGCTGACCATGGCAGACTCGCCGGCCAAGGGGCGAGCCGTGGTGGCCTGTTCGAGAGGGGCGAGGTCGGGTGCGGTCGTCGAGGTCACGGTAGTGTCGGCTGGCTCAGCGGGATCACGCTGCGCAGTGGCTACGACACACGAGGGTCAGTACTAGGACAGACAGGGAGAACAGGGAAGAACAGCAGACTCGCCCTCACCCACCTTGTCCTGCGTCGCGTCGCCCGCCTCGCTCGCCCTGCGCTGGCTCTGGCGCTCCCACTCGCGCTCCCTGAGCTCG